GACTCTTCCAGGGAATCATGGTGTTTTTATATCCTCCAACCAAACACTGTGAGGTGAGGGAACTGTCCCATTGTCTAGTTGTCTAGTTATAGGGGCTTAACAGAGACATGTGTCACTCCAAGCTGTTCTGGTTGCTGCAAATTTGAAAGCTCAAAGGTACAAGGGGACAGTTTCCTAACACCATTTCTGGCATGGCCATCCCCCAGGGCTGATTTCTTGCTTTCTGTCTCTCTGTCTCTTTCTGACTGTCTGGTGAACACACGTGCCCTATAGCAAAAATCTCTCTCTCAATTAAAAAAGAGAGAGGGAGCCCGCAGTGATGCCTGTCTTTCTGTGTGTGTCTGTGATATCTACCCGTGGGACTGAGGAGTGCTTGGAGCAGGCTGCTGCTTCTGAAAGACAAGGTGAGCCAGAGTCACAAGTTCGAGGAGTCCTAGTTTTACCCCCTTGGCAGCAGAAGCCCCTTCCCTAGCCAGCGCAGCCTGTGGCATCTGCAGGCAGGGCCAGACAGAGGACACCAGTGGTTGAAGATGGCTGCCTGGTCTCTCTGGGCTTCCAGCCTTTAACTTGGTTTTGCCCAAGAGCCATGTGCACAGCAGGGCCAGCTCTGAGGGGGAGGATTAGAGCTCAGGGGGAAGATATCCACGTTTCACTTTAGTCACACTTGGTTGAACTGGTTACAGTGAAAATATGCTCTTTGAAATAACTTTTTCCCTCTAAAATAGAAGTGGGGATTGGTGGTGAACAGGGGGATGGCGAAAGTGGGTGACGTCAAGAGAGCCTTCCATGGCTTCTCTGCAGCGAGAGCGTCCTGGTTCTTGGTGGGGTGGGGGAGGGAGCGGCGCTCAGTCCTTGGTCTCTTCTGCCGTCCCATCTTGCTTCCAAATGCTGGCTTTGGTACCCGCAAGCAGAACCCACCATTCTCCCTTCCAGGCTTAGTTCTTCTGTCCATGACTTAACTCAGAGACTGTACTGAGATCCTAACACCAAAGCTAACCTGCAGACAGAGTCTGGGCGCCACCAGTTGGTTCTCTTGACGCTCTCTCTCACTCCCTCTTTTAAAGAGAGGGTCGTGCTGAGTCACGATCCTCCTGCCTCTGCCTCCCGGGTCTCTAGATTACAGGTACACACCACCACAGGCCACCCTCAGGTTGGACTAGGAATCTAAACACAGGCCTCCACGTGGTTTTAGCCTAGAGAGCATGGCACCTTGACATGCATACCGCCACGGCTGGGTCGGATTCTCTTTTTCAGGGCGACTTACAGTCTTGCTCTGACACTGTTTCTACCAATGGCTTTTTGAAAGCTATAATATGTGATTCTTAGATATATTTCCAAAAGTTCACAGGGGGAAAAAAAGGAATTAAAGTAAGAGTTTATGATGATGCAAAAGTGTGAAATTCATGCGTGTTTTTTTAATCATACATATCTTCCATGAACTTTTTTTTTTTTTTTTGGAGAGATTTTCACTGTAGGGCGCGTGCGCTCGCCAGACAGACAGAGAGAGACATAGAGACAGAAAGCGAGAAATCACCCCCCAGGGGGGATGGTCACGCCGCAATCCCTTCTCCTCCATTCTCCTCTCGGGATCTTGGGCACGCACGCACACGCGCCCGGTGTGAGTTTTAAGCCACCGGGTCCGGGACACGAACCGCGGTCGACTACGTGGGAGTCCAGCGACATAGCCATTACGCTAACTGCTGGTTCCCTCTTCCATGAACTTTTTGAAGTCAATAAAAAGATTTAAAACATAAGTAACACCTGAATGCCCACCAGCCAGCCTAAGAGCAGAGTAGTTACCAATACGACTTGAGCTGACCTCCTTCCCTCATCAAATTAAGCTGAATGTGATGTCTATGATCTTGCAGAGACAACACAGTAAAAATAAGTCATGACTTTCCTGACAACCAAATACGTAGCAGTTAGAATTACGTTTGGCTACAAATAACAGAAAACGCAAACAGGTGCTTAAGTGAGAGAAGTCTACTCTCCCTGTGAAAAGAGCCGGGGGAGCAGTTCAGGGTTGCTGTGGGGGCTCAGGGTGCACCAGGACCAGCCGGCCTCTGAGCCACCATCCGGGCTAAGAGGGCTGCCATGCTCCCATCCTCATATCTACTGTCAAGCCAGCAAGAAAGGGAAAGGAAGGGGAGAAGGGCCTGACGCCGGCCTCAGGGTGACGTTTTAGAGGACATGCACTATGCTTTCCTTACGTCCCCTTGGCCAGAACTTAGTCACAGGTTATAAGAGAAGCTGTCCATTTTAACCCAGCTGACTGTGTGCCCAGTTAAAAACCAGAAGTCTATTTCTAAGAAGGAAAGGGAAGGTGACATTAGGGGACATCTACTGGCCTCTCTTATGGCGCAGTCTTAATCAGAGCACTGATTTAGAACCTCACACTATTGAAGATGCCACTTTTCTCTTTATTTTCTTTTTTCTTTTTAAATTTCTTATAGAGTACATGTGCCCACTGGAGACAGCGTGGGAGAGAGAAAAAGAAAGAAATTACCCCTTGAGGGGATGGCCATGCCACAATCTCTTCTCCTCTGTTCTTCTCTTGGGATTTTGGGCATGCACACACACACACACACACACACACCCACACACCCCCACCCCCTTTTTGTTTTTTTTAAAAGCCACTGTGTCTGGAACTTGAACCATACATTCAGCCATGTGGGAACCAGCCACCTCAACCTCCATGCCACCTGCTGGCCACTGCTAGGTTGTTTCTTTGTTTTTTTGTTTTGTTTTGTTTTGTTTTTTACCTTGCTGTATACTGAGCGTAGTTCAATAAAAGCTTGCAAATAATAACATTCAGTGAATTCTCACAAATGGATCATGATACAGACAGTTGCAGACACTCCGAAAAGTCTCCCTCATACCAAAAGAGAGCTTAGTTTATAAAGTAAGAGCGCAGGTTAATAGCTGTCTGATTCCATGCTGGTTCACGAGAATTCAGTTTGCATCACTCCTTGGTTTTAGAGGAATACTCATACATTCTCCGTTTCTCTTCAATAAGTATTAGCTTTTTCCTGAAGGATGAACAAACCAAAGCTGAAGTTCCCATTACAGAAATCCCGGTCATCAAGAGTGTCTATCCACGGATTTGGCTACCAGGGAAGTAAACGGAGATGGTGTTACCTGTCCACCCGTTACATGTCGGCTGCTTAACACATGAAGATGTTGCTTTTGAAAATACAGGTAGTGATGGGACCAGCAGATGGTGTAGTGGTTACATTGTTGAACTCTCACATGACCGACTGTGGTTCAAGTCCCGGACCCAGCAGTTTGAAACTCATGCTGGACATGTCTGCGTGTGTGTGTGTGTGTGTGTGTGCGTGTG